TATTAATCAATTAAATTTATCAAATTATTATTATTACTTATACAATAGATGAATATAAAGCCAAGAATAGCAACCCATAACAATTTGACTTTTCAAAAAAAAAGAAAAAGTACGGAATTAAATGGAATGATAAAGAATTATAATAAAACAAAACAAAAAGAAGAAAAATCACATGATTAGGGAAGACAAAAAATTTATTTGGAAGAAGGTGCTGCTGTAGAACGATATCGAGCTGATTTTGGTTTATCAACATTTAATGATGGACGTGGAATTTTCGATTGAAATGTTCCAATAGATGGTGATGTACCTTGTCTTATTGAATTCTTTAATTTTGGACTAGGAACATCGATTGTAGTTATAGGTGATGAATTATTGAATACACTTGGAAAACGTGATCGACGTAATGGCCCTGGAGATTTACTTGATTTTTTCGTATCGGGTAATATTGCCGTGACTACTGATGAAGATTTATTTTGTTGTGTTGTATTTGTTTTACTAAAAAATGCATTAAATTTCTTTGATAATGTTGAACGAAATGTATCATTCGATTGATTTTGTACAATTGGTTGAACGAAAGTTTTTGGTGATCGTCGTGAGATTGTCATAACCCAATCACGTGCAGTAGCTTTAGTTGAATGATTATTAATTATAGATGTATTTAATTGTTCATCATTTATTAATGAATTAGTTGGTGAATGATATGTTAATCGAAATGGTAATGGTGTTAGCTTTTCTAATTGTGTCATAATTCGTTCGAAAAGATTAAATGTTGATGAGATTGAAACAAGAATTAAAGCATCAGGTGATTGATAATAACGTTGAATAAAATCTTTTTGTCTTGTAAAATAATAAAGCCAATTAACTAATTCATTTTTACTGTATAAGAGAAAAAGAAATTTGTGTTAAATGAATGAACAAAAAGAAATACAAACTTTAATAATGCGAAGATAAATGCTTGAAATTTATATAACCAATATGATGAAGTATTTTGCGCAAATTGTTTAACTTCATAATATATTCGAGGAATTTGTCCAGATGTTGGAATATTTTTATCAATAGATGATTCAATAATTTTCCATAGATTTGTTTTTTTAAGATCTTTTCGACCATGTTCAAGTATAGTTTGAATTGCTGAACATAGATCATTTTTAAGTAAACAATCTAATTGTAAATTTTGTTCATTATCAAGAAAGAATGTCTATTCAAACGAAAAAAAACAATATAAAATAATTTATGTTTTTTTGGTCTATTACTTTATCAGATTGTTTTATTTCAAATAAACGTTTTACTATATCAGTAATAGTTTCTACAATATCTAAAGAAAGAGAAATTATGAAATTGAAAATAATTAATATCTAATCATACTATCAAGTGTTGATGTATTCATTGTAATTGATAGTTTATTTTCTTTTTCGATTGCAACAAATTCTGTTTGATTCAGAGGAGATGATGGTGTAATTTCAATAATTGGAACTGGCTCATCTAGATTTGGAATGATATTAATATGTGATTTTTCCATTAAGATATCTTCACTATCATCATCATTATCATCTTCATCTCGTTGTAAGCAAAATTCATTTGGTGGACTGTCAGTGAACGAATGTAGATGAAGAACAGGATCGACAACAATAATGTCAGCTAGAAGAAGAGAGAAAAAAAAGGAAGTTTATCATATCGGATTAGTATAGAAGATATGAATAACGAATGGCAATGTATATAATCATTATCGTGTAGGGATTAAGTTTCTTTTTGAATCAAACGAAATGAGATGACCCTTCTCAAATAACTTACTTTGACATCGACGCATGTCTCTATAACGTATTGTTGTTCTCTTTGTTAATCTTTCATTATTATCATATAATGCCAAAGGAGGATTATCATTAAAAGCAATTGTAGGATTACAAGGTGACAAAAGTTGTTTAGAAATATTTTCTGAAAAGCTAACACTTTTTTTTGTTGAATTTTCTTGTTCAATTAATGATAGAAGATCATGTTCAGAATGATGTCCACGTGATGAATCTGGTAAAACATATGCACTAAGTTTATTTGAACAAATTTTTGTTGTCCAAACAGTATCCAAATGTTTAAATCTTTCAATATCTGAACTACGATTTTTAAATGCAGAGAAGATTAAATCCTAAAAATAAAGAAAATTTTATGTTTTCTTTCAAAAAATTATTAATAAAAATTCAAACGGCAAAGGCAGAGAGGTTATGCAAATCTTTAATAGCATTACAACAAGCAATAGAAACCTCGGATTTGTTGATATAATATCCAAAACTAAATAATCATGGATATATAAAAAAGATAATTTTATTTTTATTTGTTGTCGGGAAAATAATAATCTGTTCATTTCATTCTTACATTGTTACTTGCATGTTCAGGAGTTGATTTATGATTTTGTACCATATCTTGAATATCACAAGAATTAGCTCTTGAACCATATTTAAGACAAGATTTAAGATTCGATGATGATAATTTAATATTTGTTTCTATAGGTGATGGTGTATTTGATCCAAGAGTAATTGGTATAGCAGCAAAAGTTTTACGTAATTGTGGACTATAGAAAACACCTAAAGGTTCAGTAGAATGTTTACTGTTTTTATAACGTTTAATAGATTTTAATGTTCGAGGTCGATCAGCATCTTGTTTTGGAGGATGTTGAATTAATATTGGAGATGGTGTTGTACAATTAATATTAACTGGAGATGTAGTTGTAGGTGATGCAGTACGAGATCGTGGTAATTCTTTTGAATATTGTGAAATAAAAGAAAGATCAGGAAGAGATTTATGACTTGCTACGAATGAATTTCGAGTTGGTATAGTGAGATAATTGAATGATTCAGATTTAGGTGCTAAATAGAAAGAATTTAATACAAAATGACGCTTTTTTTCTCGATATACCTGTGACTGATGTTGTTCGATAACGAGTATTTGATGGAGAATCTAATAGAATAGATGTTTGAATAGCTTGATCAGTACTTAGATGTGATGATTTCGATTTATCTGTATTTATTTCATTGATATGACTTGGAACATTCGTATCTTTTTGGTAACGTTTTAATGGAAATATATTTCGAGATGGTGATGATGTAGTAGTTGTATTGGATTTTTGTTGAAATATTTTATAGAGACATAATGGTGATGGTGGTCGAGTTTCTTTTGTTTCAGTTGCTGTTCGATGACTTTCTTTCATTTGACGCCATGATGTTGATGATGATGTTGTTGATGATCCAGATGAATGATTAGTTGGTGTTTGTTGTTGTTGTTGTTGACAAGAAGATGGAGGAGGAGGAGGAGGAGGCGGAGGATTAGATTGAGAATGAATTTGTGCAGGTTGATTAATTAATTGTTCAAAAGTATTGTTAGATGATCGCATAGACCAATCATTCATATTATTAGTAAGATTTGAAGATATATCATCATCAGAAAATGTTGGACTTATTTTTTCACTAATAGATCGATTTTTATATCGACGTGGCTTTGATATTTTCGAATCAATATGTTGTGATTTATCAGTACTAAATGTTAAACGATAATTAGCTCGTGTATCATATTGATCATCCCATGTATATCCAGCATCTTGTTCATTCAATAAATTTTGATCATTTACTGGTGATATTTGTTGTTTTAATTCATCATTATTAAATAATAAATCACGTTGAATTAAAAGACTATCCACTGAATGATCTTCATCATTATTATGAACAGTTATATTAGAACCATCGAGAAGTGTAATATTTTTACTATGATGATGATGATGATTATGAATAGGTAATGTATTTGATGAAATCGATGTAAATGATTTCGTTGTTATTTCTTGTCTATTATTATCATTATTTGATGATATATCGTCGAAATTATCTCCATTGAGTGTTTGTTGTTCAATATTTTTAATCAATTGTTCAACATTTTCCAGATGAGCCGATGATGAAAGGAAAGCTGGATTAATACATGAATCATTCATTGATATTTGTTTTTTTCTATTTGATCCAATTGAAACGGCATGAAACAGAAGAGACCAACAGGTCTAAAATAAATAAAAATAAGCATTTCGAGAAAAAAAAGAAACAGACAAATTATTAATATTTTTTCCTTCTCAATCGGTTATTATATTCACAAAATTAATAAAGAAAAAAAAATAATAATTTCATAAACTCTTCACATACATTTCATCATCATTCGTAAGCATAAAATCGATTGTATGCAATGAAAAAAAAAGAAAAGAAAAAGAAACATTATTATGAAAGACACAAGAAATAAAAGAAATGCGTAGATAAGAAAAAGAGTAAGATATATATTAACTAAAATCAATTAAATTTGATCCATTGGGTGACGTTGTAGATGGAATATTTGAATATAAAATTGCCTCTTTCGATGGTGCTAATGGATCAAAACTTGATGAATCATCTGGAATAGTTGAACATATTTTTGGAAATAACGAAGCAGGTGCAGTTGATGCAGGAGAAAAACGAACTAGATTATTATTATTATTATTACTTTGTGGTTGTTGCATTGAATAAGTTGGTCTTAGAGTAAATCGATTAGTTGTACCATAATTTGTTTGAATATTTTTTAATACAGCTGTCACACGATTTGTTGGAATTGTTTCATAGATAGATGGATGACGATCGACTGTATTTGATATTGGTTTTTCAGTGGGACGAAAGGTAACAGGCATTGAAGTAAATGAAGTATTAACATTTTTAGTTGGCTTATTTAAATAATTTGTATCATCATCAAGTGGATCAAATTGTTTAACAAGTTTTTTTATTTCTGTTTGTTGTTGACCATACTCATCTCGAGGATCCGTACGTTTTCCATCAAATGTTTGAACTTTATATTGTAATTCACTTTGTAGTTGTTTTATTTTTGAATCTATTTGTGGAACTTGACGTTGAACTGGTGTAGCAAGTGGAGTATAAATTACATTTAAAGTAATCGGTGATGGTAATAATGGATTCTAGATAGTAATAATAATAATAAAAGATTAGGATAAGAAAACAAAAGAAGATAATTTATCATACATCATCAATATCTAAATTTATTAATGGTGCATTCTTATATCGATTAAGTTCAGGAGTTGATGAATGTGATGAATCTGATGATGATGAGGATATTTGATCTCCATTGATTAGTAATGGTTCAGGTGAAGATATATTGTCTTGAGAAGTAAATCTCTCGTAGGGTATAGATCTATAAACATCAAATTATGATAATTTATTTAATAATTATTCATTCCTTACTTTTCATTGTATAGATCAGGTGTACTAGACTGAAAAGAAAAAATTATTAAGAATGGTTCAAACAGTTTGATTTGATGTTTAGAAGTAAATACATCTTCCTTTTATAATTATGACTAGAGTAAGTGAAATAAACTTATCTAAATCTAGTCCTATTCATCGTCTAACCACGTATAAAATCTCTTATAGTGAATAATTTCTTATTCTGAACTTTGAATATTTTTCGTGGCTTCCTTGCTATTATAACCTATTATATATGAACATGTTTTTTCGGCCTCATTCTCTCTTCTTCGTTTTTTTCATTTATTCTTTATGCACTATGAATAAGTATGTGTTATAAGTGATTCGATTACTGTATATGCAAAGTAAAGAGTGATGTCACCATATGAACTTACCCTGAAAGAAAAAATACAATTTATTCATGGCACTAACAATGGTGATGATTTTACAAAATGTATATTGATCAAAAAAAATATAATATTTAAGAGGATGTATACGTGTTAATATCGTCACAATTAGCATGAAAATAGATTCTCTAGAATATTCTATTTATTGTACAGTGAATTTCTATAATGAACACTTTTGTCTACTTTCTAGAGACTTGATTTTACTGTGATGTATTATCGATCTTAGAAAAAAACGGGTGTCATTTAAGTGGTCAGTAGAATAAATGAAACGGTCAGTAAAAAAAAGTTCAAAAATCAGTAGAATTATTGAATGGTCAGTGAATTATCGAAATGATCAGCAAAACTCAGTAGCGTAAGTAGGGGGGGGAGGGTGGGGCGCATAACCCCCCTGCTTCCGAAAACTAATAGGAAAAAAGGGGTTTGCGCCCTCCCTGATTCTAGAAAGTTCACTTTTTTTGACCATTGAAATAGAAAAACTAGGGTTATGCCTCCCCTACACCCCCCTGCTCTGACACCTGACTTACGCCCCTGGCAAAATTATTGAAATGGTCAGTAATTAATTTGATAGGTTCATAATAAAATTTAAACGATCAGTAAATAAAAAGAAATGGAAAGTAAAAAAATATAAATTTGTGCAAAGATGGTCTACTTTTCTTTTTTCTACTGACAAAAATCATATTTTTTCCACTGACAAAAATCATATTTTTTCCACTGCTACTTCCACAAGACCTACTGACCACTTTTGAATTGTTTACTGATTTTTTCGAAAACTGACTAATTAATTTATTTACTGACCGCAGAACATATTCCCGAAAAAAACTTACCTGATGAATAGGCTTTGTTGTGTTTAGATGATTGGTTCCATTCTTAATATAAATATAAGATTTTAAAAGAAAATCTACTTTTTTTTATAACTTACAGAATCGTTAGCTTTAGAATTGTATGTACGTTTAATCACATCATTAATCTAGTAAAAAAAAAGAAATAAATTATTATTTTATAATTAATAATAGGTGAATTTACATCGAATGATGTTAAATTATTTCTAACCGATGATGCTTCACTAGCTACTCGTTGTCCGGCTTTATTTATCTTAAAAGAAGATTGTTGTTGTTTTTTTTTAAATAAAAACAAAATTAAACTTACAACTGTTTGAAATTTTTCGGCTTTGTTTTGAACTTGTTCAAAAAGTGGATTAGCTGCCTACATAAGAAAAGAAAACAAACAAAGATAAAACTGTTTTATTCATTATTGAAAAAACAAAACATAAGAATAAGCACATAGAGCAAAGAATACCACAAAGAGCATTGATAATCTATATATGATACCTTATCTCTTTCATCCCTTGTATCGATTAATGATTTTCGTTTTTTTGATTTTGTATCATCTTTTTGTACATTAGAATTACTGGTAATTATTGTACCATCTTTTACATACTATAAGAACTCTCAATGTTATTATTTTTGATAATCATTTTCCCGATTAGATAAAAAAACAAATTAAATAAATTAACTTACTTTTTCGATAAGTTTATAAATCTTTTTGTTTGTTTTAAACTAAAAGAAAAGAAGAAATTTATCTTTACAAGTCAAAAATAAAAATCACAATTCCATCTAAATAGATGAAATTGTTTACATATTTCATAAGTATGCATTGAAAAACTTGCCCCCGCATACGTACTGAACATGACTAATTATTATCAGAATTTCTAATATAAATAGTTTTCTATGAAAAAAATTCTTTTACTTATGTTGTATTTTTGCGAAGAAATTCGATTAAAATATAAATTTCCATACATCATAGAAATATTTTATCCGTTAATATTTAATTGTCATTCTAAGTATATGTGAAGGACGAAACAGTTGTCTTTTCAATATTGAAGACAAAACACAATCAATGGAGACAGCTGTTTTTTATTTAATATGTCTGAAGACTTAATATTATAATCATTAATCTTTACATGATTTTAATCACATTTAAACACATCCTTCAATTTAGTTCTAGACTCTATTTGAGAATCTTGTAAGATTTTTAGTTCAAATCCATTTATTTCTCAAGAAAATCATTGGAAAAATTTCTAATTCAAATTTTGAGTGTAATTCTTCGAGATCAATCAAAAACTACTATTACATGACATTCGATCTCTATTATATTTTATCACAATAAAATAACGTTGATCGTCTATGCACCATACTTGATCATAACACAGACTAATAGAATATATCCTATGTAATTTTATCGATGTACAAAAATAACTAATAATATATAGGAGACTTTAATACTTGTAGGTAAAATAAATCATAGGGTACACACATGCATTACTTCTACTATTCATAATTGAAAAAAAATTTAGTTTACCTTTTTTGATTGTTGAAGTTGTTGTAAATTTTTTACTTCAATATCAAATTCATCAACATCAGTCTCACGTTCAAGTTGTAAAAATGTTCGATAACGTGAAAACTAAGAAATAGAATTAAAGACTTATTAAAGATTTTGTTTTGCTTATTAATATCTAACTTGTTCAAACATTTGTGTATTAGCGATAGTAGACATAAATGAATGTACATGAGATCCAAGATATTGTTCAAGATAAAGATCTCGATCAAAATCTAATTTTTCATTTTTAAGTGTAAATCCATTTGCATAATTACCTAAGAAACAAAATATTCATAGAAAACAATTTTTCAATAAAAATTTAAAATTCAACTAACCAATTGTAAATGCCATAGCTCGAAGAAAAACTCTTGCTAAATGATCTCCAGCTAATTGTGATGATTGTTGAATACCTTTTTTCATACTTCGTATTAAATATTTTGGAAACGAATTAAGATCATCATATTGCGAGTCTAATTTTCTTTCATCAATATTTACTATGACTGCATCACCTAAGTCATTCATATTTAATGTTGGAAATACACTTGAATGAACACCAAGTATATACGGTGAAGTACATGCAGTAGTCCATAAAATTGAAGTAGGAACTATTGGTAAAAAAATACTTTGCCTATTTATATAAACAAATATTTTGTTAAGTTATTTTTTTCTGTTATACAAACAAATATTTACCAATGCATGGGATAAATTAAATCTAAACATCCATATGAACATGCTAAACAAAGATTAATAAAATAAATAATTTTATTAAAAAGAGAAAATTGACTAACCAGTTAAATGAAAAAGTTTTGATGATACAAATAGAATACGTCGTTCGAAAATTAAATGTGCAAAAAGACGTAACATTATTTCTGGACCCAATCGTGAAAACATCACAGTAAAATTACGCTAAATAAAATAATCATTTCAAAAAAAGCAACGAAACACAATAAGGATATATTTGGCTCAAACTATATGACTACACCAAAGACTCAAGAAATATCTTTGATGCGGTCAAGTCGAGTGTTCTCTAAATTTGGAGTTTACGGATGTCTAAGTTTTCGCGAAAAACACTACCTGAAAACTGTAATCATCTGTTTTCGATTGCTCTAATAGATATTCTGGACTGTGCTGAGTCGATTTGTGATGTCCAAGAAAAAAAACACACAGTTACAAGTTATAGAAAACTTGCAACTCGTTAACTTCAAATTTGAAGCTCACTTAACTTGACCGTTCTGTGTGAGATTAGATAATAAGAACTTTCTGAGGAAATGAATTATTTCCTTCATGAATATTTTATTAGCACTTACACTAGAGAGCATTGAAGGAAGTTTTCTTGAATCAGGTCGATTATATGTATAAATCTAAAAAAAATTCCTTTTCAAATTTAAATAATTAAATAGTGAATTTACCTTTGAAAGACCATTGATTTCAATCATTTCTTTTCCTTCATTTCTAAAAAATTCCTCATTCGACATTAATTTATAATTAAATAATGATGATAAAAATTGTTCCATATCTGCAGTCTAGTTTAAAACAAAAAACACACATATATATATATAAATTATATCTACCAAAAGAAAAACTCGTCAAAATCAAGCTCAATTAGCAGCAAAACACCTACTAAACTTGTTGACTCAGAAGTATCATTTAACTGTATATATAAATGAATACATATATACAAAATAATAATTGTCTTACTGATTTCGAATTAATTATTTGTGCTAAATCATCGAGAATTTTATAATATATTTCAAACCATGGATAATAACTTTGAAATAGAGAAGAAGAAAAAATAAAAATTCGAAATAAAACATGAATCTTTTACCTGATAATACATAAACAACTAGCTTCTCGATTTGATCGTCGACAATAACCAAAACGAAATGATGTACTAGTCGTATCAAGTACTACAAATGTAAAATGTTCACTTTGTTCATCTCTATGAAAAAAATTTATTCTAATATTAAAATTAATAGTTTTTTTACGCTGGTATTTTGCATGGATAAGCAAAATTTGTTGCAGTTTTAAGTATTTCCTCCGAACAATCATTTGGATATTTTATTGATACTTCCGGTACTAGAAAAAAATTCGAAATATTTATACGAAAAATTACCAAAAAAGTATTCACTAACTTTCATTATCGATTGGTTCACGAATTTCAAGAAAAGCTTCAAAAAGATGTTCTGGTATTTGTCTAAAAGATAATCAAATAATAAAAATTCAATCAATTCATATTTATACATTACTTTATACGTGATTCGATTTCTTTTGTTACATGATTAGATGCTGTTTTCGAATCAGATGCCATCTGAAGACAAAAAAAAACAAATTAAAAAATAAAATTTTGAATCGAGTATGACCTCTTCACCTTCGTACAAACAAATAGTTCATATATAAGAATACAAAGAAAAAAACAAATCGAATGTTTTTAACAATCAATTCAAATAGATATTTATTATAGTTTAACGAAAGATTAATATTTTTGTAATCAGTCACATCTTGTCAGGTATGTATATATGTTACGTTTTTTCTTTAACCAAACAATCATGTTTATTGGAGAAATTAAAACCAATGAAAATTTTGTTTAAAGACTTTAAATGTAAGGATGAATGAAAAAATTCAAATTGATAATGGTTATCAAATTCAAATTTGTGATATGTTGAAAGATAAATAATAGAGTTATTTGCAAAGGATATGAAAATGATGACGGAGTAGAAAGTGTTCAATTAAATTTGAACTGAATTTTTGTTTTGAGATATGACGAATTTTTAATTTAATGATTGTGACTATGTCAGATACGAAGAAATAAATTTGCTAAATAGTTGATTTATGGCGCAAGGAATCTTATTGTTGGATATGAACAATTTGTAAGTTTAAGAAAGAAATTTTACAGAGACTGTTCAACAACTTCTTACTTTATTCGAATATTTGAAATCAAGATAGTATATTGAGCATACATGAATATTTAATTAATTATTCATAATCAAAACAAATCTACTAATATAATTAATAAAAAAACTTTATTGAGAGATATATACGGTTACGGGCGTAGCCAAGAATGGGCTAGCCCAGTCGCCGCTTGTCTTGATGATGTTGGTACCTGCGATTTTCTTGATACATATTCATCAACTAGTGACAACTACAATCGATACTGTACTATTGTATAGTCATTCTATGTAAAATATGGATTCTTGCTAGATCTGTTTTGATTTATTCATTTTCTACAAAAACTTAAAATGCGGTTACCAGTAAATCTGTAAGGAAACTTTTCTTTTGGAAATATTTGAGATAATTTTATTTAATTTAGTCAATATCTTTATAAATCGATGACACCTCGTTATCCAAAATGGCAACCAGGTGATCCAAAACATCGAATATTTTTTCCTGAATTTTGGATGAGAATTATGAGACCACAAGAAAATCGTCCATTAAGACCGAATGTTGTTCGTTTTGAATGCCATATTGAGTAAGAGATTACATTAATGTTTATATTGTATAATTTATATTGTCTTTTTAGAATGACTAAAAATGATATAAAACAATATTTAGAAAAGATCTATAAAGTCGAGACACTCGATGTAACAACAATTATTCAACAAGGTTAATAGAAATATAAGATTTTATTCGTATTCATTAGTAATTTAATTCAGGTAAAGAAAATCGTCATCCAATAACATCAGAAATAATTGATCCTGATCCAGATAAAAAATTTGCTTATGTATTTTTGGTAAAACTAAAAAAAAACATTATTTTAAATCATTTTGTTTCATTTTTATTATCTATAGAAAAATGAAACATTTGATTATCCGGATTTATGGCGTGGTAAAATGCCATCTGATGAACTTCTTAGAGATGAACGACGTATGGTATCAGCTACGAGTAAACAAAATGCTCAATTAATTCACCGACCTGGTATATCTAATTGGTTTCGTTAAATGGATTCTCTTGCTTTCTTAGTTATTATTTGTATAATAAAAGATTTTCATCAACAACAAAAGTAAACAATGTTATTTGTTAATGTAATAGAACTTTGAATGGATTTTCTCTGGAGAGTATCGAAACAAATATATACGAAAGGATAATCGTTTCGATGAATTTTTTTGTTTTGAAATAGAATTGAGAAAAAGAAATTCCAGTATTATAGTGAAAGATAATGATTAGCAATAGTTATTTTCTCATAGCTTTGAACAAATGAAATCATATATTTGTTAGATTAACTTTTAATCACAATTTTTCATCACGATGATGTTCGTATATAATCATAGCAAGAAATATCTGTAGCTATTTATCAGTGTACTAATTGAAATCGCAATTATTATCAATAATGGTTAGCGATCACAGAAGTCGTGATTTTTTCTGAAAACAAATCTTACCCATGTAAAAAAGTTGTGAAAACCATGGTTTTTATGAAAAATTCGATGGGAAATAGATTTAAATGGCACGATTTTAATAGCTTGGTAATCAATTAAGTTGAAATAATCAATTAAAATCCATTAAGTTGTTGTAAAAAATCGATTAAAATCGGTTAAATTGAATATAATCGATTAAAATCCAATGATATTTGATTTTTCGTAGAAAAATAATCGATTTTAATCAATTTTTTACAACAATTTGATGGATTTTAATTGATTATTTCAACTTAATTGATTACCAAACTATTAAATTCGTGCCATTTAAATCGATTTCTCATAAAAATCATGATTTTCACAACTTTTTTTACATGGGTAGAATCATTTTCCTTATTAATCGATTAGTTTTTATTAATATCGAATACAGTTTCTTCCTAATACCATACATTGAATTATTTTATAGAATGACAACACATCATAATACATTTAATATACATTATTAAGCCATTCTAGTTTGAAATTCATTTGTATTTACTACTATTTATACATAAGCGTAATATAGAATAAAATTTGTTAAATGAATTTATTATAATACTTGAACTGAAATTTGACCTAGTAATCAAAATGTTATAAATTAGAGCTTTCACAATGAAAATTCAAAAATAGTCTAAAGCAAGTGTAGACTATTAATCATCTGAAAATTTTCTATCCAGGATAGAATCTATATATAGAATGACAGTAGTTTAGTCAAGTACAAAATAAGCTATTTTTATTGTCATTGAGTAAGAGACATTTACCTGGATTTATATCTGGTTGTGAAAAGATACCAAAGAGTGACTCAGACAATAATTGACTACATTTTATTCTATCACATAGATTTCTCACATGATTTTTATCAACAAATAAATGAATATTTTCTTACGAAAAAGAGTTCAAAGCACTTGATAACAATGGCACATAAACTTTGGCTATATACTAGAAAAATATATCCAACTCATTTTATCACTGTCAAATAATATATTCATCAAATGAAAATCATATGTGTCACATTGGAAAAAAAATCATTTTCTTTTTATTTAATACATATAAAACACTTCATGTTCGAAAAATTACAAGGCGAGCATACATTTTTATTTACACAGATCGGAAACATTTCTATCGCAAATTAGTTCTAATCTCTGATTAAATTGTTTCATATAATGATCATATATAATTACATTAATTTAAAGATCGGAACTATGAATACGGAAAAGGAAAAAAGCAATTTAAAACAAAGAGATTTTTTTTCTCAAGTTCCGGATAGATAAAAACGCATTGACATATCTTCTAATTCTCTCTTGAGAGTTAATTTTATTCATTTCTCTTTGATTTCATCGGCTATCGAAAGCTCAGTAATGATAATGACAAGTCAAGATGACAAAGAAAAATGTTTGAATATATATATATATATTCTCAGGTGATTCATGTTCATCCATCATCATCATCATCCTATATTCCAATCAAGTCATGTCTTTCAAGCAATGACATGAATTCAATTTTTTTTTGTTTCTCTTCTGACAACTTCATCATATATATCTACACACACCAAATGTCATGAACAGAAAGAAAAAGTTCTATCTTATAAAAAGTCATTAGACGTAAATGAAGCATGCCTGCATTTTCTTTTTTTTTCTTTTACACAAAAATTGATGATGTGTCAAGTTAACAACATGAAAAAAAAATAATCATACTAAATTTAAGTTTCTTTTTCTTCTCTCTCTCCCCTTTTACCAATAAAGCTGTTGAGGACGATGATAATGATGATGATTTCCATTGATATCATTAAATAATGCCAATTTATGTATAAAATCGAAATCAGTTGTATAAAACAGATGTTGCAATGTATTATTTGTTTCGGGTGTTGTTGATGATGATGATGTGGTTGTAGTTGTTGTTGTAAAACTTGTATTTGTATTTGTATCATTTGCAAGAAGATTATCAATAAGAAATGATGTTTTTGTTATTGGTTTTGTAATTCGGACGGATTTTTCTTGTTCGTCTTCTTCTTCCTCATCTTGTTCTTCTTCCTCTTCCTCTTCTTCTTCTTCATCGTCTTCTTCTTCATTTGATTTTTGTTTTAATAATTTAAAACGTTTTCGTCGTCGTAAATAACTACCATTTTCAAACATATCACTACACCTTTAATGAATAAAAAATCATATCTAATTATAGTAATTAACAATAAATCTTATTGATTTAAGATTGATTGTAATAGATGCTACTTAACAAACAATATATACCGCTATGATCAAAGATCGTTTTTCTCTGCTCATTGAACGATATTGTATTTATATATGAGAGAAAACAGGTGAAAAGAGATGTTATTCGTTAAGTGTTTGACAAGATGTACTTTTCACACTTCAATGTTTTTTAAATAACGGCTTCTGTTTTATTCAATTTATATTCAGATTCTATCAAAAAACATGAAACAATATCAATGAATTGTAAAAGAAGATAATGTTAAATATAAGTATTACATATTGAAAAAGAAGTTCTTAATCGCTAATGTAACTAATAAGTTTCATCGTGTTTATTTCTCTCCCATAAAATCTATTAAAATATAAAAACCTTGAACTATTTTCACTCAGTTGCACATATTCTATTGATTAATCATCCGACAATTTAAAAATATTTGCAAAACACACGTGTTCAAAATAACAACTTCTTTTCATCTAATTGCAAGACGTGTAAATGTATGTAAATATAATATATCCATCTATTTAGTGATTCAAACTCATGCTGTGTGTTTCTTTTTCTTTTATTGTTAAAAGATTTAGTCAATGATCAAACGATAGGTAGACCATGACACATATTGATTGAATTTTATGACTTACTTGCTATGTAATGCCCAAAAATTGCCTTTACCAGGTCGATCAATACGACGTGGAACTTTAATAAAACAATCATTAAATGATAGATTATGTCGTAATGAATTTTGCCATTTTTGAGTATTCGTACGATAATATGGAAATCGATCAGTAATAAACTAAAAATATTGATTTTGTTCGTTTATCAAAACTCTGTTTCTTTTTCTTCTTCTTACTTTATAAATGTCACTAAGTGGCAACATTTTTTCTGGACTTTGTTGAATAGCCATAGCTGTTAGAGCAATATATGAATATGGAGGTTTTTCATCGGAATATGAAGATTTTCCAGGACGTGGCATTGTATTTGGTATGTGTATGTGTATGTAATAAACTTATCGACACATTGAATTGTAACACCTGTATGATGTGTGAATAAGAAAGAAAACGTCAATTTGATTGGTAATGTTAATGTAGATTTTTTCTCCTTTATTTCAACCAATCGGAGGGAGTCTTATTTTCTTCTTTTTTTTTGTATTCATCAATTTGTTTGTTCGTTCTTTTCTCTCTCTCTTTTAATATTAGACCTCCTCATGGGTATTGTAGACTTTTCACCTGTTGAGATATATATATTTATGTGGAAGAGAAAGAGAAAGAAATAGATCAGGTTGAATGGCAAATACAATCAAATTAAAAACAAAAGTCAGAATGAAATGAATGTTTGAGCAATAAAATTTGTTATTACAATAATAAGGTGAGAAGAGAAATAAATTCATTCTTTACTCTTCCGGATCAATGAATGAAAAGAAAGAAAAACTTACATAGAAGCTTAAAACAAAATGTATCTTTTTAAGATAAAAAGATTTATATAAAATAGGAAATAAACTAATAAAAGTTGTTGAGATTTTTTAATGAATTAATTAATATAAAATTTGTTCTTTAATGATTCTATTGTAGAAATGTATAAAAACAAAGTAACACTTTATTTAAAAAGCAATTTATTATAGTGATAAATTCATTCATTCATTCATTTGTCTTTATAAACAAATCATATATAGATGTTATAAATATATTAGTATCGATAAAGGTATCAAAGTAATATGAAGAATGTTGAGATGTTTATCAAGTTTAGATAGAAAACTGCTATGGTTGAAAGCATAATTTAGATTTGACTTCGGAAAATGTTGAGGTTAATTAAGTCTGCATATATTTGTATTACTAATCATTTGATTAGATGATGTTTAAATGAATTTAATTATCAAATGAAAAATGATTCATCAGTCTGCAATACTTCATCATTTTATATCAAAATATTATCATGGACTAATAATAATGAGGAAGTGTGATATCGAGGCACTGGACAAAAACTAACTTGTTGATTCATTTGGATATACTATAGAAAAATAATCAAAAATTGTCGTATAAATGCTTCTTAGTCATCTATCTACTCGATTCATATAAGAAAACATCGGTAGAAATGACTATAATTTATTGACAGCCATCTGCTACCATTTTTAAAATCAAGTTCAGTCGTTGATACGCTATACAACTTCTAGTTTCCTACAAAATGGTAGAAAAAATGAACTGTCGAAACGATATTTTATTTTCAACTAGATATCATAATATATATAAATAAAACGTGTACATTAAGACTGACATATTAACCTACGAGAATCAAGGCAACGATTGAGGTTTTATTTTTCGATATAATATATTCATCTAAAGTAGTGTTGTTTGAAGTGTTTCAAAGTTTAGTTTTCAACATTTGAGAATATTCTGATCAAAAGTTGGTCAAGATCGATTTTTGATGACTTGTCAATTGCTATCAAAATAATTTTCTTCAAATATATCAAATGAGAAAAAATAAAAAGATGAATAAAATGGCCGATGCAAATATTATTTATTACTCCTCTATCCTCTACAGATTTGTATTTTAATAAATAAAAATAATGATTGTTTTATAATATATGAATTGTGATACATTTGTATACTAAGGGTTGACAGATAATTTTTTCCTCTAAGAATGATCCCCACAAAGTTTTAAAATGTTTCTATCTCTGATTTTGTTAAAATATTAATAATTTTCATTATTATGGTGTAGGTGTGAGTTTGGGTAATGATCTTTTCGTTTTTCACACTCATATTTATGCCTTCATATCCACATACACACCCGGAATTTCTCAAGAACTGAACAAAATTGAGAATAAAGAAAGAACTGCAGATGCAGAGCAGCCAACAATTTATGATATACGATATTTAACTCTTTTCTATTGACATCCACCATCTGTACTGTTCTAAATCAGTATGCATGACTTTTGTTATTTTTTGTTGTAATCTCTGATATACAAAATAGGTCAAATATCGAAGATAAAAAAACAGTCATGATTTTCATCGACATGATCAAATATATTTGTTGTTGATATATCAACATCCGTCAACCAATGCATTTAGGTGTTTCATATTGTATGATAAATATCTCTCGTTCAATGAAAGTCATTATTTAAGCATATGCTACATTTATTTCAAAACTGCATTTTATCTCTTCTCACTTTTTTGACGTTTAAAAGTATGGCAAAATCAGTATTATCATTCATTTGTAACTAGCACAACTCAAGTGTAAATTGAACAACGATGTTAAATTTGCGTGAGTTACTATACATTGGATATGTTACTTTATGTAAGTTAAATCTTTATCGTTCGAAAAAACCATTGGAAAATGTCGACAGAGAATATCAACTTAAAACTGAACTGATATCTACTCGTCTATATATTTGTTTATTGCTTCTCTCATTGATGATTTTTTGTACCTATACATCTCTAGTATCAGTAACACATACAACTGTTGTTGATGCACCAATACTAGAAGTTTACTCATCTCTTTATCAAAAATATGGAACAAAATTGACCTGTCCTTGCACGAATATAGCTATTGCTCAAAGGGATTTCATTACACTGATTCCGACATTTCATCAAGTTTGTTACAGTGATTTTGTTAAGAAAAGTTGGTTATCTTATCTTAATGCGGCTTCTGATAAGTATTTATCATCTGACTTTCGCAGTCAAGGAGGTTTGCTTTTTCAAATACTTGCCTCATTTTGCCGCCTTTCTCAAGATACAATTAAAAACAGTTTAAACAAATTTTATTCAACACGTTTTATATCGAATGATGTGCTAGACGAAGATTTACTAAAGAACCAAAGTCGATCACATATTGAAACATATAAGTCAACAACTGCCAGGGAATTTGTGAACTCATTTAATAATATACGTGATGCAATTTCTGGAAATCAACTACTTTCAGGTTTCCTTACTAATTTCGACTTTAAACCTTCGAAATACAGCTCAGAACCTCAAGCATATCTTGTTTCATATGTATCGACAGTTTATAATATGCCCGGTAGATGTAATTGTGATGACACACCTTCATGTATCTTTCCTGCATCCATCAATGATAACAACACTGGTCATGTGATACTCGTCGTTCCAGGTCTCTACACGGGTTGTTTACTTGTCGAAGCAATGCGTCAATCAAATCTTCAATGTTTATATAACCAAACATGTCTTAATGAAATAAAGAAGCATATTCGATCTTCTGTATCATTTAATTCTACAGCACTCAGTAGTTTTGTACCAAGTCGTTACAATGCATCAACAGATATAAATCAACTCTTGACCGAGCTCATGGTAGAATCATGGATCGAAAATATTTCTCATGCTTCTTATTATAATCGATGCCAGCCAGCCCATTGTGTTTATACAATAGTTGGAAAAAATAATGCCATTTACATTATTACTGCATTACTTAGTCTACTTGGTGGTCTTTGTAAGGTTCTCTACTTTCTTACACTGATTGTTGTCAAAATTATTCGACGGCGACGAGGTAAAATTGTTTCTATCAAATTTTTGGTGGGTATGAGTGAGATATACAGTATACTCACACTTTAGTCATGTATCCACATTGCACGCACAAGAAAGTTCTAGGAGAATTAACTGTATTCTAATTTACTTTTCTATGTAACTTAGTTGTACCTTGCGTCTTTGAAAGTGCGTGTGAGTGGGTCTTATAATCATCTCATACTCTCACTCTACTTGTTGGGTAGAAGCAAAAATTTAACGAATTCTATTCACCTTTTTAGCTCTTCAAACGAACATATCTTTTAAACAGAAATTACAAAACCTTGTTAGGAAGATCGTCAACCGCATTCGGACGTTAAATCTATTTCCTGCTTCACCACCATCGACAGATGAATATCAATTGAAAACACAAAAGATTTCAACGTTTGTCTTTATTATTCTATTAATCGTCAGTAGTTTCGTTCTGCTGGTATACACGGCTACACAGACTTTTACCGACACAATAACTATTGAGAAACCATCATTCGATAAATATAAAACATTATACAGCCAACAGCATGAAGAATTATCCTGTCCATGCTCAACAATTACCAGTGAATATAAAGATTTTCTATGGATTATACCTGTATTTCATCCAGTTTGTACCAGTGATTTTGTTCGTGATAAGTGGGTCAATTATACGCTTCCACCTACTACACATACGCTTGATTTTCGTGCTCAAGCTCGGGCAATATTTCGTGTTCTGAAGTTATTTTGTTTGCAAGCTAATGATACTATTTCTACTGCAGTCATTTCTTTTAATTCCACTAAAATGATTTCGATGCAACTACTTTCGGAAGAGATATTTCATAAGCAAATACAACAATTCATTGATACATTCACTAATTCGACAAACAATATCTTTTCTTATGAGCTTAGTTCTATCCGTACAATTATTCAAGGCAATTTCATCATGTCTGGACTTAATACACAATCTTACAATTTCTTCGAAGAAAGCGGTTCTTCATTTACACATTTTATTATGCCGGTTGTGTATGGCACCTGTTCTTGTACTGTATCCGGAAAATGTTTATCGAATGCAGACATACTTTCTCTAAATAGTACAGGTTTATTCCACACTTTATATACAATACCAGGATTTTATAAAGGCTGTTATATTGATGAAGCACTACTAAAATCAACTCTTGAGTGTTATTTTAATCAATCATGTATCAAAGAAGTCATATTTTATCTGAATCACAGTAAATCAGCCAATATTACGTCGCTCGATCCGAATACGATTAGTACTTTTAGTACCAGAAGTCCAGTTGACCATCTCGTCAGAAATTTAATGGTTGACAAATGGCTGGGAAACGGCTCTTTCAAAGATTACTACGACAAATGTCGTCCTTCGTCATGTTTCTATACGTTGACCGTAATAACACCATTTATTGTCGCTGTTACTACATCAATCGGAATAATCGGTGGATTAATTAAAGTCTTACGTATTGTTGTACCATTGTTTATAAAATGTGTGAGATATCGCAAACAAGTACGAGAAACACACATAGGTAAGTGTTTGGATGGTTGCGTGTCAGTGTGAATGTGAGTGGGGGTGTCTGTATAATTTTTACCCACATTCATCCATTTTTTTAATTTTGTTTTGACTTAGATCTACGAACTCGTATTCGGAACCTCTATCAAAAAGTAAAACACACTTTACGAAACTTGAATCTATTCTACTCGACGGAGTCATCGGAAAATGAACGCACTGATTATCAACTTAAAACTGAACTCATTTCTACTCGTCTATATATTTGCTCATTGTTTATCTCATTGATCATTCTTCTTATCTATACATCTCAAGTGTATGTGACACAGACAATCCCGCTTAATACGGCATCACTGACAGATTATGAATCTTACTATAAAAAAAAAGGAGAAGCATTGATCTGTCCTTGTACGAACATAGCTGTTACACAAAACAAGTTTATTTCGTTGACCTCAATATTTCATCCAGTCTGTGACAGTGATTTTGTGAATCCACGTTGGCCTGCTGGTATCGGGAAAGCATCATTCGAGGCGAATGGTATATACCAAAGAGACTTTCGATTTCGAGGTGCGTCTACATTCGCTGTGCTTGATTCTGTGTGTTCTCTGGCTAAAACCAGCATTATAAACGCTTTGATTGATTTTAATTTGACTACATTTATTTCAAAAAATCTTTTATCAAAGAACGTATTGAGGGCACAAATGAATGCTAGCATTGATTTATATACTATGTCGATAGAATACGCCTTTGGTCGTTCACTTGAAATTATACGTGATTTGATACATGGTAATGGGCTTATGTCATCAACTCTGTCAAGTATCACCGTTGATTTGGATTATGACAAAAATTTAACAATTTATCCACGGTACAAAATATATGAAGAAGGTCCAGATGGAGGTAACTGTTCGTGTCATGATTCACCTAGCTGCAACGAAAAACAATACGTTTATTCTAATTTTAATAAGGATAGTCGAAATTTCTCTGTACCAGGATTAGTAATCGGTTGTTATGGTTTTGAAGCACTGTTACAATCAAATTTAATTTGTTTTTTTAATCAATCTTGTATTGACGATCTTCGTGCAGCTATTTTATTCAAGGATAATTTCACTACTTCAGCACTTGATCAGTCGAAGTTGTTTTATTTTAATCCGAATAGCACAATCAGAAGTATGATGGAAAAAGCTATGGTTGAAAAATGGGTAAATAGTAGTAATTATGACGAATATTATAATCAATGCCGTCCGATTTATTGCAAATACACATATAAAAACAAAAATAATACTATCTATATTATTACGACATTATTTGCTTTGATTGGTGGAGTTTCCACTGTACTTAAATTTACTGTCCCTCGATTTGTCAAATTAATTCGAAAAATTCTACTTAAACGGCAACAACGACGTACTGCAATCGATACAGTTGCGTGATCATTTTCATTCAGAAAAAAACTATTTTCTATTTGAAAATATTCATGATTGTTGTATTGTAGAGTTCAGTCGAATACAGACCATTTTCAAATGAACTTATACACGCTTTTAAGACTGAAGAAAAAGGTTGTTGTTACGTTCTGTTCTTTCGTTTTTTATTCTTACTTTATACTAATACAAAGAATATAAAATATAATATGATTACACGTCTACTTCATCTGGTAATGAGTTTAATGTGGATGTTGATGTAGGTCTTGCCTACACATCCACCTTCAAGCAGGATTCTCGATGACTGACATGAGCTGTGAGTATATGTGAGTATTATTGTAGGCGTAATCAACCATTTCATGGACTTTATCTTCTATATACGGGAAAACATATTTAGTTTCTTTTGAACATAGGTAGTGGACATCGTGAGATTATGTGAAGATTCGTGAGGAAGGAGGCAAGTTTATCTAAGATAATGATTTATACAATGACGGACAAACGCGTGAACAATATATATTTACATATTCGTTGAAATATTAATATGTATCGGTGACCGTTTCGATATTCAATGACCAATATTAGTTACACCAGATAATTGCCCTTCTGTTATTTTATGGTATAACACTTAAAAAAATAGATGGTACAAAAAGAAATTTGTTCTTACGAAAAAACTGATTCACCAACTCGCTAGATTGTGGGTGTGTGATACACAGTAGTTAGCATCATACTTATTCACACACACACACACACACTAAGATAACCACGTCGATATCTATATCCACCTTGGAGTTGTTCTCATGAAAATATTATTGTTATTTAATCTTTCCCATGGTTCGTGCATTGAAATGAATAACAAGTATAATATATAACGCCTCTTTGTTGTAAGTACTGAGAAAAAACAAGATTTATTTAGCGTCAGACATACATATATGTAATCGGTGAAATCATAAAAAAGACTGATTACAAAAGCTAGTGTTTTCACATTAACTTCGAAGGAATCATGTTACTTTATTATCATGGATATTCAACAGACAAAAGCATTTTCATGTCTTTTCATTAATACTACTAAAATTTCATACTAAAAAGAATTCGTCAAAGGATAATGTACTAGGAAACAGATACACTAAACGTCTAATTGATGTATATAAGTTATGAAAGGACAAATGATATAAATTGTTCGAATAGCAGTCAAACGTAATACTTTATTGAATAATAATATTAAAGAGTAAGAATAAATGTGTATCATTGACACAACAAAACTACACACTATATTCTGTTCGTATACATATAACTTCCTTTGTGGATGTCTAAGGTTCAGACTCTATTCCATTTTGGAGTCTCAATTCCGAATAACTTCTAACAACGTTACACTTTGTTTCTACTAGCGAAGGTGTTGAGTTTGTATATATGCATACAATCTCCTGATTTATGATCGAGTTAACACTTTCCATAAGAACTATCAATTCAACAAAGCAAACTGTGTTCATACAAAAGTTATAAATAATCAAAAACAGTTTCTTTTCTTCTGTCTCTCTCACTCTGTCATATAAAAGAGCGTGCGCTATTCTATTTACTTTTACATTACAATTTTTCAGAGAAAAGAAGTAAGAAGAATGAAAGAATCCCTATCAGGTGCGTCTAATTACTTTTTATTTTTACTCAAAAAACAGCTGGATGAAATGAACTTTGAAGAACTTAACGGACATTTCATCTAAGTCACGACCAGTTACAGTGGAAAGTTCCGACACTAGGAAAACTCTTTTTGTTTCCTTCCTTTGAGGAGAAAGTCCACGAAAACGTCATTTTTTGGTTACGCATATTCTTCGAAATTATTTTTCATATTTTATAATCTCAAACGAAATTTAATTGAACTGTAGTCAGATCTAAAATGTTAAGTCATCTTGTTTTCATCTGTGAAAAATGAGTTTAATTTGCTTTTGAGAAGCTTTTATCTAAACGACAGACTTGGTATTTTGATACGATCTCTCAATCGAACTAACTGATTCAGTCCGATTACGTCTTATTTGCTAAAAATTAGCAAGCTCTCATGTGCTAGACATTACTAAATTTCAGTCTATCCGAAGAAAACTTCTCTGACTCTTGTACTACACGATTTCCTTCTGAATCCAGAAACTAGCTTGAAGCTTGCGTGTCGATCATGCGAATAGGTCAGATAGGCTATTCCTAACTGATCTCTGATATACGTCAAGTGCTTAGAAGATCAGGGGTCTACTATGTCAATATGTGATAGGTAAATTCATTCCTACCTAAATAATAATGGCCATTTGTTTTTTTTATAGAGTATTTTATTGCCAAATCAAAGCATCTTTTAGAAGAAACAACTGGATCCTTTTGACAGAATGAACGCCAGCAATATGAACGTTACTAACATCACACAAACACAGCCCATACCGTACGCCGTGAAACTCACCATCTTCGTACTCTTTTCTGTCTTCGTTTTACCCTCATTGTTCTGCTTTTTTCTTAACTTCTATTACTTCATTCGCTTTCGTCTCCAACTTATTTTCAAAAATCTTCACTATCATTTCATCATCTGCTTGCTGATCTCTGATTTCTTGCTAATCGTCACACAAGTGCCACTTATGTTAACCAATCTCTACGTCGGTTCCATTCCAGAACTTCCTCAACTTTGCACATTCTGGATTTGCTGTTCGTACACATTATTCTGTGTATCTGATTTTCTCACAATGTTCACCTCGATCCAACGTTACTTTCTGCTGTTTCATAAAGCTTTCTACATAAAGTGGAAATCGCTTACTCACTACTCTACTCTTCTTTTCGGCTGTCTCTATCCGCCGATTCATTATGTGTATTTCAATTTATTCTACCCTTGCACGAACACCTACGACTATACTCAGCCTCTGTGTGGACAGGCCTGTTTTACTTACGTAGTAATCTTGGATACCATTGATAATATGGTGAATATTCTTTTACCAGTCTCAACAATCGTTGTCGTTAACTGTATGATACTGACTAAAGTGATCCTAATAAAACTACGAATAGCGTCAAACAAGAGCAGTTCGAGTTCTCATGATCATACTTTCTGGAAGAAGAATCGCCGATTTATCATACAGCTTGTGACTATCGCGTCGGGCGTATCGCTAGCCTGGCTACCGTTCGTCATTTGCGCAACCGTGCAGACGTTCGACAATACATTTATTTCGGCAAATGTCCTCACACTTCTCAACTACCTTCCCTATTTCAATTGTTTGCTTACTCCCTTTCTCGCCGTTGTCACTTTACCGAGGGACATTAAAGCCAAGTCAGCCGTATTAATCCAGTGCTGCAGTCCGAAACGAGAAGTAAAGATACTATCAACTAAAAAATCACCAACAATGGAACTCACACAAAATAACATCGATCTAAAACCAATGTCTGTGAATAACGTTTCAGTTATAGTAGGAACTGCAGTGGATGAATTTGCTCGCATATAATTTACTTGAAAAAGATAGTCAAAGTCTGAGGCTCTCTCAATACTTCTTAATAAAATTAATCATTCCTTGCAAAACATGAAATTGTTTTAACTATAAAATGTAAACTATATTTTTTTTTGTTGTTTTTATTATTCGTCTTTTTTTCTATATATAGTAAACAAGCAAATATTTAAAGAGACAAGGTTTCATTGTTTTTTTCTAATAAATGACAATTGATTTTGGTTGTAATAATGCATCCCAATCCGTTTGTTGTTCAACATTAAATACTTCATCATTAAGCCATTCTTCATAATGTCGTTTAAATGCTTCAGGTAAATCTTGATCACCTAGATTATTATTCGATGAAAGTGCAGTTAATAGATCATTATTTAAAGGAGTAAAACTATCAAAATCGAATTCATTTGCTGATGCATTCTGTGTACTAGCATTTGCTGGATTATTAGTATTATTATTATTTGCATGAGCTGCTGCTATACGATGATAACGACGTTGATTAAATATATCAATTTTATTTCTTAATGCTCGTTCTTCTGTTTGAAAATCCCATGTTTGAGTTTCTTGTTCATTACCATATGCCCAATCATCATTAAGACGATGTCGAACACGTTGATATATAGCTGAAATAGCCATCATATTTGATTTTCTCCATTGTCGACCAAGATAACGTGTTTGTAATTTTAATAATTTTAATGCATACAATTGCATCATCGCTTGTTTAACACGTAGAGTTTTGCGAAGAATTGGAGCAGATTTAACGGCGACAAGAACCTAAAATTAATTTACAAAATAAATATTTTTAAGCTATATTGAAGTAAGGTTGTATCATGATGATTTCTCATCAGACTTTATAATAGTGCTCATACGTAAACTCTGCTCTATCCTGCTGTACTTTTCAATTACAAAGATATTTGTTTGAAAATGAGAAAAAAAGACTAACCATTGTTCTTGCATGTTTTCCTTTGGTTAGTTTATTTAAAATTCGAAGAAGATTTATTGATGAAAACATATTTCTCCAACAATAGTTTTCTGTTTCTGGTACATCGAATAAATCAGCTGTTAGTTCAGGTTGAGGTCCAATGACACACGTTGGGAAATCAAGAGGTGGAATTCTAATTCAATATAAAAATTAGTTTGATTAAAAATAATTTCATTTTCTTGTCTTACGTATTTTTTGCTTGTATATGTGAAAGAATATTATGATTGAAAAATTTTAAGATAACTGTTATACAATTTGAAAAGACAAGATTTTGACAGATATATTCAAACTAGAAAAAGAAAATTGATTCAAATTTTATATAAATAATATTTCTATTCAATACCTGATAGATATGATTAACTTTAAGATGTTTTAAAAGAAGTAATAAAATAGCTGAAACAGCTTTGACAATCATTTCCTGTAAATTAATTATAATATACATATATATATGAAAATGTTGAAATAATTCTTTTATACTTTATGTCGATTAATATCAAATCCAAGTTTCATAGTTTGTACCATTGAACATGGCATTTCTTCTGGTATAACATCACAAAGTATATTAATAGATTCTGTCTTTGGTTTAGCAGTTGGTGTTGATGTTAAAAGTAATTTAAGCAAGGCAATCTAAAGAATAATTGTCAATTCAATTGAATTCTTTATATTTTTACTTACAAGAAATTGTGGTATTTGCATAAGTGTTGCTCGATATAATCGTTCAGCAGCAGTATCTGGTACATTAGTTTCTTTCTAAATAAACAAATAGATTTTATCAAGATTCGCCTTTTCTCAACTTAAATTATTTATTCTACCTTTGAAAGTGGATATTTAACAATATCGTCTTCGATTTTGATCTGTACTTCTGATAATGGAATATACAAATGCTATAAAAGGAAAATATAGAACTATAAGACAAAACTTTGTTTATTAAATTTATACTTGTTTAAGAATTTTAATGCTTTCATGAATAGGTTTTGGTAGACCAATTAACGTTGTTAGATCATCTTTTATTGAAAATCCAACAAATTTCTTTCGAGTATGTTCAAGAAATGTTTCTAAATCTTTTTGTCTATTTCAAATGAAAATTATATTATTTATACTAAAAATTATTCATTTTAAAATTTTCTTCATACCTAACTTTTGGTACCCAAGGTAATTCTTTCATAAGTAAAGTTGATGCTGGATCAACACTTGATGCATCACTAGCTAATGATAGTGTTGATTCAGCTGAACTAAGTGATGGAACTGGTGTTGATGGTGCAATCGTTGAAGCATCTTCATCATTTGATGTATTATTACTAATATTATTTGAATTTGTCGATCCATCATCTGAAGCAACATCAGAATCCAAAGCAGATTGTTTTGTAAAACTCTATTCAAAAACAAAAAATATTAACGATGAAAAGTAAATAGAATATTTCTTTACCTGTCGTTTAGCTCTTCGAGCACTACTTCCACCTTCTGTTTGACCTTGCATTTCTAAGCATTCTGCACCTGCTAATGGTGGTAAAATTGGTGGCATTCGTCCAATAACTTTCGCTGGATTTTCAGCAATAAACTCAAGACCATGTTCATGTCGAGCAGTATTCTTTTGTTCAAATGCATCATCAAGACTACCGAGAGTATACTATTTTTAAAGTGAAAGAAATATAACAGTATGAAAATAATTAACATAAAACTGTACAATACATACCAATAAAATTTTCCATAGTAGTAAAAGAAGTTTTCGAATAGGTAATGGTGGTGATGGTGCATT